GAAAAATGTCCGGAGAGAGTTGTTAGTGAAATACGTACAATAAATAATTACGATGGTACACTCCGAAATTACGAAATTAAAGTAAATTAAAACAAGCTGAACACCTTGAGCACAATACAAGAAATAAAAACTGATGAAATATTGGCAAATATATATCTATAAAAAAAATATATAAAAATATTATCAAAAAAAAGGTCAAAAGAAAACGTATCCATTTGGCTACATAATACAGAGGAGTGTCTATCAAACGTTTTGCCTCATACCTAAATAATGGACAGCACACAATATTTTGTGATAACAAATATTCTCAAATGACTGAAATAGTATTAGTAGTCCTCCACTTCATTGACTTTTTAAAAATGTAACATTCGAAGTTACGCTGCAATACCTACTGGTACTAATGAGTAAATTTTCCCAAAAGCAAAATAGAAGTCATAAAAAAGTTCTAAAACACACTCCTGCAGGTACCATACCTATAATAACTAGCAGCTAGTGGACTAACGATAAGAGTGGGACAACAAATGTTGGATCACTGAAAACGTACAATAAAATCTCGGATAATTTAAAGAACTTTTACATGCACGTGTTTAAAGCTAAAATTAAACAAATCTGGTCAACTGCGCTTTGTATTTAGTTTGAAGGTTTATATTGGAAAGCAATTAGATGTTAGCGTTCATTTGATACATTAACAAAACAAAAAAAAAAAGCTTTATGTTTTTGTAAATTATTCTTTACAGATAAAATACTAATTAAATGCAAACTATGTCACAACTTTTATTATTATCAGACGACCTACATAACTTTAACCGACAGTAAAATTGGACAACAAAATAGATTTTAGTTTAATTCAATCTGCAAAAGTTTTATTTGATTTTAACAATGTGCAGAAGAAAATCAGAAAAGTGAATAATTGATGTAGTTATTAATAGATTGGGAGGTGGGCCAGGAGGAGATGTTGAGGAAAGGAAATTCAACTAGTGGTTCCGTTGGCTATTTATCTATTTTGCACAAGTAAAATAACTACGTCCAATATTACTTTTGATTTAGTCAGTGCAATTAATTAATCAATCACACAAAAGTAAAATTGTATAGCTTATTTATAACGGTTTCTATGAACTCATATTTTTTAAAAGCGTGGGGCCAATTTATGCAGGTAGTTTTATCTATGGAGGTAAACAAAACTTATTGTTGTGGGTCAAATACATGTTTTATTTACGTTCGCATATATCCAAAATTACTTATTTCGCCATGCCAGTCGAGTACCCACTAATCCAAAATGCTTTTTACTGCAAAAGTACTCCCTAGATAATAATAAAAACCAGCATTTTAAAAGAAGTTAAAGCGAGACTGAAAAACTCTGATTTACTATTGTAAACGGCAAAAATACTAAAAATTCATTCTTTTCTTGTTAATTTTAACTTATCAGCCTAGTTTATTTATCATCTGCAATAAACCACATCCACTTCGGTCAGAGAAGAAACGGTAGGTAGCGTACATTTAAACAATAGGTACGTATTGTTTGATTCTAACAGAATGTCTGTTATTTGACAATTTTAAATAATAAATAATGTTTAATGCTTGCCTGATTTTTTACTTACTTGTAACATAGACAGATATTCAACTAACAGTTACGTAACAAAATAAAGGACCAACATTAATATTAGATAGCAAAAACAAAAACACTTTACTTATGTGTCCTGTATGAAATAAATAATTTAATCCTCACAAGCATAGTCCACCGCAGGCGAACAAAAAGAAAAAAAAATCCCATAAGAATAAGTATTCATTCTAACAATTGTTTTACCGAAGCAAAGTTACACTACAACCGTTCGCTATTAAATAAAAACTTTCACATATAATACTTAATTGATAAAGATGATGATGATGATGATCGTAGATTCTGGTTATTTTACAATAAAATGACAGAGTACTGTTGTAAGCTATATACCACTTATTATATCTTATTATATCTTATTATTTAAAAGATACTGCAAGAGTTTAAATACAGTCATAACACGATGAGTCTAGGGAACTATACAGGATGATTTTAAATAAATAACAATATTAAAATATTTCAAAAAATAAGTACTCTACAAAAAAATGTCCAGATTCAAAATTTACTCATCCCATGCGGGAAATACCTTGGTGCAAAAGACTACTCCCCCTGTCCCCTTTTTCTAGGTGGAGCAAGGGGTAACTTTGAAATCTTAAATAGGAACTCCCAATTTTTATTACAGATTCAGAATCTACGGTTAAAGATACGAAGGGTTTGTCTAAAACATTTCTTTAAATTCATGACAGATGACGCTGCGTTTAAAAAAATATATTTTTTTTTCGATTTCTCCTACTGAGAACCTAGGCATACAATTCTACAATACGTTTGCAGTAAAAAATACCACGTTTTCATTGTAAATAATAATCAAAATTAAGGTAACCTGAATGGTGAAATGTACCGAGACATTTTGGAAAATGAACTGCCAACAGTACTTGAAAAGTTAAGCCAGTGACTATGTATTTAACATCTATACTCACTGGTTAAGCATAAAAGTGCTATAGAACATGTGGTTTCAACATGATTGTAGTCCAGCGTACTATTCGATGGTAGCACGTGAAGTACTTGATCATGATTTCAATAGTCACTGGATCGGTAAAGCTGGTCCGGTAAATTGGTCTGCCAAATTACCAGATCTTGGTTCGCCAGATTTTTTTTTTGTGGGGCTATTTCAAAGACAAAGTTTACAAACAAGAACTAACAACGCGTGAGAATATGATTGAGTGAATCAGAAATGCTTGTGCCAAAATTCAAGCAGACACATTTTGAGTACTTAATTTAATTGAAAGATGATGAGGCGAGGGGACTCATGTAAATTAAGCACCCTGATAAGTGAGAGGTGAAAGGGCTCACATAAATCAAGCAGCCTGATAGGTGAGAGGCGAGGAAACTCACCTAAATCAAGCACGATGGTACGTGAGAGGTAAGGAATGGACAAAACCCCGAAGGGAACAGAAAACTACTTCGTCCACATCAATGTTCCTGGGTTACGCTAAAGTAGTTTATTCGCCAGGCATTTACGTTCCTACAGCTAACAATTTCCAACGTTTTTGAAGAAGAATTTCGAGTATTTACATAAAACATGGTATTTTTTAGTGCCAATGTATTGCAGAATCGTATGCATAAGTTCTTAATAGGAGAAATCCAAAACATTTGAATTTAGTCGATTCAGCTCTATCTACCACGAATAAAAAAAAGTATTTCTGACAAATCATACGTACTTTTAGCCGTAGACTCCGAATCTGCAATAAAAAATAGCGGTTCCAATTTAAGGTTTCAAAGTTAACCCCTGCCCCACTTACAAGGAGAGGGAGCGGTGGGTTAATTTTAGAACTAATGTATTTCCCCCGCGGCTTGATTAAATTTTGATTATGGACATTTTTTCGCAGAGTACTTATTTTTTGAGATATTTGAAAGTTTCAGGTTAAAAAATTACCTTGTATATAAAAATCTACTTGCTTCACCTACAGCAGATAGATACACTTCATTTATTTTAAAAGAAATTTTTTTTAAATATTGTCTTCGTACAGATTCTGTTTAATAAAATGTGGTAAATTAGGCAATTTTACATTGTTAGCACCACCATGGCTCTACAAAAGTTCCTATAAATAAGGGAAGTTCGTTGCTTCTCGAAAGGAACCTCAACCGAGCAAACTTAAACTATGGATTTTTAAAGTTCCTGTATATAAAAACTTACATTTTCGATATTAGCTAATAAGGAATCTTGTTGATCATTCGGTGCGCTGTAATAATATAACGTTTATCCCCACAACACCAAAAAGACAAAATATTTTTCAATGCGTTTTCCCAACCACGTTGGCATTTTCTAGGAAAAGCTAAAGTAAACTTTAGTTTAGCTGTACGTAGATAATGCCAACGTGGTTGGTGAAACGCGTCTAGAAATATTTTGTGTATTTTCGGTGTTATGGGGATAAACTTTATATTAGTAATATGACCTGAATATTGGGACTGAATTTATTATCGAAAGTAAATACTTCATATATTTAATTATTACTTTTACAACTAGATTTTGATTTAACGTGATATAGATATTTCCTTCTACAGGCCATTCGACACGGGACTTATTTTCGTAGACTAGATTGTATGCGATAGAATGCGCGCGCCCATTGAACCTGCTTGTATACAAGAATTTAGAACTGGTTCTAATTTTTCGTGTACAATTTAGTACGAAAAAAAAAAAGTACACGGGACTCCGTGTCAAACGGCTCTAAGTTCTACTTTTAATTAAATAATATTATTGATAAATTGTAAAATGAAAAATGATAAAAATAAGCTTTTTCATATTTTACAGCTTATGCAAACGGGTCCCTCGCTTACAGTCGCAAATAAAAAATGTACATATGACATTCTGGATAATGTATAAAATAACAAGTTCCTACCTACATATTTTGGTATCAAAATAGTACAGTTCAATTAAAGTTGTGACGATTTTTGTAAATTTGGTTTGTAACTTTGTACAACACATTTTTATACCAATAACTACAAACAAGTAAGTAAATAAGTAAAAGATCATGACAGAATCTGATGAGGTATATAATAAGCGTGGGAACTAGGATATTGGCACAATTTATTCTCATGAATTAAATATGCTATAATTGGAATTGTCGGTGTATGAAGAGAAGATTGTAGTTCTTGTAATAGATATAACCACTATCAAATTCTAACGAAACGTGAAGAAAATATAAATGGAAGAAGTTAAAAACTCTTTTTGCCGGTAAGTAAACATCATATGTAGAGCACTGATTAAAAAAAAAATTTTTTCTTAGCACATCATTTTTGTATAAAAAACTTGTTATAACAAATAAGTTTTTTGTTTTTTAAGTTTTGAAGTTGTATTAAATTTTTAAATTCATTAAATTCCTTAATGTTTTTCTTTTCTTTATATGTATATTTTTTTTGTACTACGGTTACCACACATGTTTCTTACCATAGAAATTACGATGTCGTTAGCTTCCCTTTCTTTAAGTAAAAACTAGAACATACGATTATAACTTTTATCATTATTGTTACACGAAAGTAAAATATATGTATTCAAGACGGCCGATAATTAATGTACGTGTTTAATAACGAACGAACGTGCAGTGTTCATAACACGTGCAACGCGTTACAACTGACGGTGGACGACGCTTGAAAACCTGTGAACCGATTGACATTGGACGCTAACCGTCGCTACGCGTCGTCCAATTAATACAAAACGACGTCATAGCACTGGTTCTTGAAATTGTTTGATATATCAATGCAGAGTTTACATTATTGGTAATCTTCAATCGAATTCATATGCACGCCAAGGGTAAGTTAAACATGGACATGGAATTAACATAAAAAAAACTTTTTTATAGCGTAAAAACTTTTTTATTTCATAATAAACAATAATATTCAAACCAAGTAATATGACCACTAATAGTCAGATATCTTAACAGATGCTTAGATGCGTATATTGATAATTACCGTACACAATTTTTATTTTTTCTTGTAAGAAATTATCCGCTATTCAAAGTTAATCATCAACTTTTTTCTGTAACTAATACGTAAGGGCTATTTATATTTATGTAAATAATTTCTAAAAATTAATGGTGTAATCAGAAAGAAACAATCTAGGCGCTCTTTCTGAGTCACAGATGAATATCTTTCCATATTAACCATTTGCATAAAATCAATATTAATTGTTTACTTGGGCTTTTAATACATTCCCGGAACAAAATTTGCAGAAAGGCGTCTACTGATTAAATGTGAACCAAATTACTACGAAACAACTTGTTTAATACCATTTCTGAGGAGTATTGAATATTTGACAAGAAATATAGTGCGGACTGCGGAGTATGCCCCAAGCATCTGTTGACTTGTTACTTTACCGCGGACACTCGTAAACTTGCCACAGTCCAGATGGTTGGGAGAGGGTTTGTCGGGGGGGACCATAATGAAAATTTTGTCATAATATAATAATTGACAAGACAAATATGTTTACAAGCTTCTAAGTAAGTCATTTGGTACTTTTTCGACGATGATTGTACTGTACGTTAACACTCCTGTTAAATTCATATATGTATACAGTATTGCAAAGGCAGGGGTCGGGATAAGAAGACAAGTTTACAACGGTGGGTGGCTAAACAGTCAGAAAAATTAGTTTGAGGCACACTATCTTTCTGGTCAAACAGTAAACTGGACGTAAACATATTGTGCGTTTATGGCTTTGACGTACTTTACAGCCGACCCTTCATAAAACCTAGCTAATGCAAACCATGGCACGTGTCAGAGATGGCCGAGACAGTACTACTCTGTGCTTTTACCAGCACAATAGCACACTTTTAAGATGTATTAAGGTAAGATTAAAAGATTTGATAGTTTTCTGAGTATATATTTTTCGATGTCAGTCTGTACCTAATATTGATACTATTGTTGCTTTTTGACTCTGTGGTAGATTTGAATTATTATTGGGGATCATTGTTATAGAAATGATGTATGATTATATCATTGAGGCTATAAAAAACATCAGCAATGTAGCATTTGTAAAAGTAAAGCAGATGGCAAGTGTCCCGTTTTCAAAGATTTCATTCTTAAGTTTTTGTAAGATTAAATCCGTATGGAGTTATTATTATCACAACCCACTGAAACGGTCAATTTACTTATATGAACATATCTTTTGGAAAATAAAAATACAGCATTCAAAACACGGCGATATCTCTTATCAACTGTGAAAATGCTAGAAATATGTGAATAGACATCTAAGGACAACATTAGTTGTTAGTTTGAAAGAATTAATAGTGTTATATTATTAGTCGTTGCGATTATGTTTAATAAATTAAAAATTGCAAAATCTTATACACAGATGTATTAATAGGTTAGGTAATCAACCTGTAAAAGTTGTTTTGTTTGTACTTTTTTGAAAGTATACCTATATAATTTAGCAAAAATAAGGTGTTTAACTTGAAATTTTGGGTTTTCTACGAATTCGGGCTTACGCTAATAGCAGTTAGAATATGTTCTTCTATCATTAACTAACAACCCAATTTTTATAAATTTTGAGAATGGTGGTCAAGATGTTTGCTAATTTTTACTTCCCGAGTGTAAGCTGAGAGTGTTGTAGTAGGATCCTTCCAACCAATGGGTCCTCTCATGTTTTCTTGGCGTTTCATGGCTAGGGTACCAAAAGTAGGTCTCCCGTTTCCATCTGTCTGTTTGGAGTCTGTCGTTTGTCATCCGTCTTCTGCCGTCTGTGTCAATTTTGATTAGAGATAATCTCTGAAACTGCTTAACCGATTCTTATCAACTTTTATCAACCAAAATATGTCTAAACGTCACGATTCTAGTAGTAATCCATTCAAATTTTGTTACCTAGTTTAACGTTCTACTTAGAGGGAACAGTTCTCGACCAATTACTTCGTTTGGGGTGGTTCTTTTTAAAAACTCGTTGTTACAAAAAAAAACTATGATGATTAATTGATCAAGAAATTTATTTATCAGCGAACATAAAATAACATACAACAATATTATTTCACCTGTCACTGCAATCATCAAGATTACGATGTGTACCTCAAAACTTGTCCATTGATTCATTATTTCAACCTTTGACTCAGGTGATATAGTGATGAACCACTGCAAATTTGGAAATGAGACAGCTTACTCGTCAAAACAATTTTTTTAACCTTTAAAAAATCATGAAGTATATATTACGGTGATCGGTAATTAAAAGCGGCGTGGTAAAACTAAACAATTCTTTAGTAATACACATTTATACGACTTACCTATACATAGCGAAAATACAACAGCGAATAATTCTGAATTAACTTAATTCGTACTCATTAATCAACTGTGGATTTGACTACTCTAATTCTCTCATTGCCTGACTGCCCTTTCTCGACTGTGGTCTCTATGTAAACCGCCTTATGTTCTTCTGGAGGATTCGCGCTCGTCGCCTTCGAGGTGGTTCTGGAGTCCGCCATCAAGACTTCCGGCATCGCATCCAGATTTTTCTATATTCGAACGCCGCCGTCACCGATCATGATTCATCGCTGCTTATCGCCATACATACTAAAAAACCCAAGGGTGTTGTACCGGGGCGGCGTATGAGTTTATATAACCTCTCAAAACATCATTTCATAAGTAAATACCGATCGTCTCAGTCATCATTTTCAGTACTTACAGCAATTTAAAATGTTTAGTTTTTTTTTATTAAACTTTGTGTTAGATAAACTGTGCAGTGTGATTTCATATGATAAAAAGTTTGATTTTTTAATGGCCATAATCGTTATGAAAATTATACATAAATATATACTAAAACATTAATTCGTATTCAATATTCGTGAGTAATTTAGAGTTTTTATTTTTTACCTCGAAGGTATTAAACAAATTTGGTGAGATTTTATACTTAAAGGATATGGTCATTCATTTTACTACCTACTCAATTTACAGAAATGTCACTTCAATTAACTCAATTCGTTTGTCGTAAATGTTTTATATCAATAGATTATCCAAGCTCTATCTGGCTATCGATTCATTTACTACAAATTGTAGCCGTAAATATTTAAAGGGACTCGATTGATGAATTGGCTACAAACGTGAAGTTCAGATGTTGTTACCTAAATAAAATAAGTTGAAATGTATACAAATGTTACACAAAATGCAGTACAAATAAAGTTAGGAAGTAAACAAGTTTTATTAGTTGGAAGAATGGAATTACCTCCTTACATACATATGTAGATACGTAATATTGATATTTATGACAATAATCCTTTCATTCTAAGCAGTCAACAAATCCAGTTAATTTTGTAATAATAACTCCTGTATATGTATATATGAAAATAAAGAATACTATGTTCCCAGAATTTCGGAAAAATTAGATAATTATTTTTGAAATAATAATTAAAATTATATTTATAGTGGCTGACGCAGCACTTCTAGATCCTTAACCTGACAGTGTGTTTCCATTTTTTATGGTTTCTCGTCTTCTCCTTTCAATTTTTAATCATATCTCTCGTATATCTGTCTTCATTTGTTTCCTCTATTTTTTCTAAGTGTCTTAATCGTCGTCTTGGCGCTTTGACTTCCTTCAGCTTCTCGAGCAGCATCGTGAATTCTTGATTCGTTCTTCTGACCCACAGATGTGACTCCTCTTTTCCTCTGCATATTTCCTTCAAAATTTTCCTTACCCATATCTCTAATTTTTGTTCCTCTGTCTGAGTTAGAACCCATTTGTATGACTTCCGCATAGAATTGAAAGTTTTATTTATAACTACATGCTGCAAATGCACTTTTGCTTTTCTTTAGACTAGTTTAAATAGATCTTATCAGATTCCTATTTTCCTTTCTGTTCTTCTATATTTTTCGTGATTAGTGTTCCAGGATAAATAAAACTGGCCAAGTGGTCACTCTTCCAAATTTCCCTTATTTCCCATCCCCTATTCTGTTTCTAGCTCTTCTGTGTAAAGTACGACGAAAGATAATTGCAAATGACTCCAATTATGGAAATTGCAGCTGTAAAATTTCCGACCGCTTCGGAAAGTGCACCCAGCATAAAACTGTCAATCAAGATTACTAGCCATCTTTACCTTTCCAGGACCGTATTTGTTTCAATACGTGAACAGGTACATTGCCGCTTTCAAGGAATTTAATCTTAAAATTTAAGGACACATGAAAATGTGGTTCTTAAAACTTTTTAAACCTTTGCAAATACATATTTCATAGAAAAATCCCAATAAAAATTAACTCTACCATGATTCATGTATGAATGCTCCAAAATTTGACGTCTGGCTCTGGCTGAAGTCGTACCTCCGTTGCGAAGGTTTCGTGATGGTTTTATTACAAGTTGAGGTCCAAAGTACTAAAGACCCATCATAAAGTAATTGACGGCGTTTGCAATTATCTTTCGTCATACTTTATATACGAATATTGAATTAATTACAATTACGGTTTATATCTCAGTTTTTTGAAATTCCACGAAAACAGTAATGTTATTATTATTACTATTAATGTACCTACCCGAATTAGTGTATTTGTTTCTTGTAAATAGTTTATGACGTGATACAAAATTTGATTTGTATCACGTCATTGGTATTGCCGCATACGCATAGCATGTTTATTTACCGTTGTTTTGTTGTTTAATAATACGACTACATTTATATCTTTGAATTTATCTATAGGGGTGTCATCAAAAAGTAAAATTTGTACAATCACATTGTATAATTTATTTCAGGGGACCCTGCTAAACGTAATGGTTTCGTGTCTGAGCCTTACACACTGGGTGGTGGGTTCGATTCTCGCCTTGCCTCTGGGTGTCTGTATGTGTCTTGGATTTTAGTCGTTTAGTACTATATCGGTTATGGCTCTACAGAGACCCATAATCTTGATAATAATCGCTGTAAGTAAGCTAACAACTTGTCTTAAAACTTTGCTTAGTAAAAAAGTTCACTTAAAATTGATATTCTGATAGTGTTCTATTTGTGACTTAACAATGTACATGTTTACTCTTTTAACTTTACCAAATATGTTATATTAAAAAAATAAAATTTGTAAAACTAAGTAGCGTTGCAGTTTGTCTTAGCACCCATATAACGGACTTTTTGAAATTTTAACAAGGCTTTAATTTAATGATTGGAGAATATCGATTAAAATTCATCTCAGAAATTTATGTGTTTGTGCTTTAGTATACATTTTTATTTTTAAAATTGCTTATACAGAGCGTTTGTCAGCTGCAGTTTAATAATCCGTCCATATTTTTTTCTAACATACGTATATTTCATTAAATAAAATACTAAATAAAATTTGCAAAATAAAATGTTTAGGCAGTAAAAAATTATGATAATGTTCGCTTGTTTACTGCGTGTTTTTCAAAAACTAAATCAACTGCTCTTATCTGAGACAATCATCAGACTATAGACTCTATTTCGGTATTACCCAAACACCGGCATGTGTTTAAACATGAATGTACTTACGTAAAGTAGAATTCATGAGTAAGAAAGTGGATATTCTCGTTTTGTTCATAGATAATAATGTCATTGTTAACTTATATCCAGTAACGCCACTGGCAACCTTTCACCGTTCATCTCAGACAGGAAAGTTCATGCGGTGGTGTTACGGGGGCCACAACCTGGTCGACTCTCCATATACGATGGAATATGTATTCAGTTTGCCTGTCAATGCCCGAGTTTTAAACATAGGCTCGCGACATTTCCAACTACACGTGCGTAAAATAGCGTGACACGCGCCGCCATCAGGCGGTTTGTACGTTTGAATGCACTTTTAGTGTTTGTGTGCAAGTGAATTTCTTGTATTTAGGATAATCCCGAATATGGAGTTTTGTTTCTTGGTAGTAAATTCGTGTGCAATTGGATACACCTATATTTGAAACGAATGGTATGTAAATCTTAAAAACCTATTTTATTTTTTAGTTTAAAATCTTGAATAATTTTTCCTTTTAAATTAGTACCTACTGATGTATCACAGTAAAAATACATCTCATGATACTGTCTGTAGGTGTGTGTTTCATTTCTTTGAGAAAATATTGACTTTGTGTAAGATTTTATCTAGGACAAACAGTACTTTGACGATGACACATTCAAATGTTCACCGGTGAAATATTTATTAAGTCAGCCTATGACAATGTAACCTCAACCACATTTGATTCATACTTTACATATCAATTTTGAGGATTCATTGAACGAAAGTAAGAGTTACGTTTGAGGCCAACTGTCATCGATTTTATATGCAATGGTAATTTTGACCAAAAGAGCATAAAATTGATATTTGTTTAGGTTCTAATAAGGGTCTGCACTAAAATCAAACAATGGGTATAAACATTTTTCTGCATCTGTTTGTGTATAAAAACATAACACTGAAAATTTTCGATTTTTTTTTCTGCAAATATTATCGGAGTTATGATTTGCTTTAGTGTACTCTGTTTTAGGATGTAAGCGAGAATAGGGTTTATGTAATAGTTTGCTATGGTACCATAAACAAAATATTTTTATCCGTCAACAATCTTTGTCTATAGATTTGAACTAATAATAGATCATTTTTTGATTCTTGATTTAAAAAACAAGCAATAGTATTACTAATAATACTAAAATACAGAGAAATCATAACTGTACTGATGTTATGGTGAGAGTCGATTTATTACCAACAAAACTTAACTTCATTGGGTCATAAGATTTTTTTTTTAACTTCTGTGACTATTATAATATACAACGGAGACATGTTATTTTTATTTACCGACCGTAAGGTAAGGAAGTTTTTGGGGTCCATTCGGCGAATGGCCCCTTTCATGTTGTCTCGATGTTTCATGACCCCTAGAGTATGAAAAAATAGATATTCCGTTTCCAGATATCTGTCATTGTCTATCGTCTGCCGTCGATGGTCTGCCGTCTGTCGTCTGTATTGATTTTTATTAGACAAATAATCCCCGAAATTATATACTGGACCAATTGTTTTTAAATATCGTGTAAATTGTAAAACACAACCAAAATGCGTCTAATGATTCCCACATAATGACGTCACCTCAAAATTGTTTATAGCAAATTTATTTAAATTTTATACAGGTGTGATTGACCGTAAACGTCCAGATTTTTGAAAAAAATTCGGAATTTTATAACTATATTTTATATTTTAGCATTTAACTCTGAAACTGCAAAACCAAATGCGGTGAAATCTTACAAATGTTCAAAGGTTGTCGTAAGCATGGAAAACCGATAATCAAAATTTATCCAGATCCAAATTTAAACAGACGTGGACAGTGTTCCCCTCGCGAAAAACGAATCCTATTTTTAAGTTCTGATATAACAATGTCCAGATTTTTAATACGGGAAAATACTTAGATGGAGGATAGTATAGTATATATCACACGTGGAAATATACACAATGCGCATCGTATGTTGGAACTTACATGGAAGATACATGAATAATGAAATTTCATCCTTAATTGAGGCGAACACGCACTAGAGTTTATTCTTTGAGAATGTTGCAATAAGCTCTTTAATCAGCAGTAAACACGTTATTGTTTAAAAGAGCATAAGTTAGAGAAGTATTGTGATAGTATATGAAAAATTAGCTTCCCCATTTCCGTCCGAATTTGTTCAGCTGAGTAGCTACAAAACATGAAATTTTGCATAAGCCGAAGTGTAAATAAACATGGATCAGAAGTTATCTGTCCATCAAAAACTTGATGACATCATATCATCTAACCTAAACAATTCAATTAAAACACACCTGTGTCACAGAGCCGACATTCTCTTTATCCTTGCTAAAAACAATTTATAGCACAAAATTGTCACTATTAATACTTTAGTTGCAATCTGAAAACGGTAGCAAGCCTTTGTAGTGGCACGTCAACATTTCAAAGACTCAACTCTGACTCACATTGTCTGATTTATACCAATAAAATGTGACTCAGAAGGCTACTCTTATGGCCACAGCGTAGTAGTGTTTATTAATTACAACAAAATTGTTTCCGACAATGTACAATATCAAGAAGTTTTTATGGGTGGAAGTGCACATTGCTCTTCACTACAAACACGTTGAAATCAAAGACACAATGTTGAAGTAACTTTCGAAAACAGTTTCACTTTCTTGTCAGTTATTTCGTGTAAACATGTTTGTTTTGTAGATTGTGATCTCCGCTAGATACCTACTTTGCATTGAAAAATTGTACACATTGTAATTAGTTTACATTTTGAAAAAGATGGAACCGCTTTGAGAGTTACGACTTTCATGTTATACAATAGGATTTAAGAGAAAACCAAACTTACAAGTATAAAGATCTTGTGGTGGTACACAAGATAACGTAGACTAACTTATATTGTAACTACGAAAATACGACGTGTTGGGTTTTCACTGATTAGTATTTGGGGGGAAGGAGAATAAAGTCTTTTATTGTCTATTACTGCAACACACAAAACTGGAAACCTAGACCTACCTGAAGTTTAGAAGTACGAGTAAGTGTTTTTCAAAAGTTGGATTCCCTTGAAGTAGCTAGTATGATTTAAATGTATACATATTATCAGTGGTAGTAGATAGGAGTATAATGCAAACGTCTACAAGAAAAAATCGCCGGTACAAGGTGATATTTTCAGTTTCAGTTTTTGGAAAGCCACCTAGGGAATTATTCAGTTTCAAGCTCTTTACCAAAATGCAAAACAGGTTTGAGCTAACAGATCCAAACATCAACCGTGTCTACTATTATTGTACAGTTGCAATGGCGAGAGAGCAAAAGTGTTCATTACATCAGAAGTGAAACTTTTGTTTGTATTGATTGGCATGATTTTATCCAGTACCGCACCAACCGTAAGTACCGGCGTTAGAAAGTTTTAAGTGAAGAATAAAAAGTGGTGGAAGACACAAATTATTTCTCTCACATAGTCGGTACCTACTAGCTCCCACAAGCTGCAGAATGTCAGTTTGTCAACTTTGGGAGTGAGATATAGGGATAATATCCTGAAACACATCATAGCCTCGTATATACAAGTAGCGAGTTAATTTTGTAAGTGAAGACCACACTCTAGTAAACATGGAAAATACGTATGTATAAGTATATATAATAGTATCGCTTTGTATTATTTTCAACTTATTTGTTCTGACAATGGAAAGATCACGTATTGTTTTATTTGAATTTTTACTGTACAACTTTATTACGCATTGTATCTTTTGTAGCCCACATTAAAATATTTGTGTTGTTGCTTAATGTATGTACGAAGAGCTGGACTTGTTTAGTACAGTATGTACACACAGTAAATGAGTATTGTTAGAGTACTAATGTGTTGCAAAACTGATCTGTATTCTTCTTAAATATATATCGTTAGCTTTACGCTGTGCTACATATGAATGTGTACATATAACTGTAGTTGCACAAACCACTACACAAACCCAAGTACAGTGACTATAAATGGTCAACATTTGACAATTAAACAATTATAATTATAGTATTGTAATTACTGCAACATGATGACTGTATTGTGGTTAACGTATAAATAGGCAATCAAAGGAAGGAGCAACCTTTATTAGTCATTTCATTCCACAAACCATACCATACCATGTTTATTTAGTACAGGTGTTTAGGTGTGTAGGTGTAGATGTAAAAAGATAAAATCGGAAAAATTTAGAAATGATAGCAATACCTTCTGTCTTAAATTTTTAACATTCCAAATCATTCAAAAAACTTACTCGTTACTATGGTCAATTGGCCAGCTATAGTTATGTGTTATAATTTGGTTATGTACGTATTACAAGGAAATTCTTTATAATTAATTCCTGTCGAAACAATCATTTAAAAATTTCCATCAATTAACGGCTCCCTAAAATTTTTACGAATTTTACATTGGGTCATGTCATCTTTTGGGCTTTTGGTGTCCCAGAACATGCGTACCAAATTTTAACAGTATATTCCTCATGAATACATAAATTATAATTCCTTGACTAAAACTACAAGCTTACTATTCTTATGACTCTTATTTATGAGATAATTATAATATTATATCTATTACATTTAAACAATCTCACGACACCTTTTACCCGCTTTCTCAGGTTTACTGCTAGAACTTTGAATGTATTGTTAGGAAAGGGAAAATGTATATACAATATTAGTAGTAATTATTTGGTCCATTGGCGAAATAGTAGTGCCATTTTACGATAATCAGAGAATACGCACGTCGCGTCGTTTTCCAGGAGGAGAGCATCCAGATAAAAATGTTATTTTGCGATTGATGAGTCGGAGAAGTGAAACAAGACCGTTGGTTCCTCAGGGAAAACTTTAGCCCAAGACATATGACTAAACTCTACAAAAGTGAGTAGGGACCTAATCAATTTAGATGAATCAAGAAGTTCTTTCTTGCTAATATCAGTTTGCTTAATCGTCGAATTAGCGAGGATCCCTATTAACTTTTAAACAGTTAATAAATCATAACTGCTTTGATATTCTGTTTTTGCTACAAAACTAAATACTCAAAATGTAACATTTTATGTGTTAAATACATTCATTTAACTAAGGTGAAGATGAATCTATAATTTCTAAATTTAAAAAACAAGAATTATTATTTAAACTATGTAGATATGGAAAGTGAACACGTAAGACTAGTGTTGTAGCTTCAGAATAAGAAAATGTGCATGAGAATGATGTTAATTATGAAACTAAATCGTTGCACGGTATAAAAAATTTCAGCTTATTTGAAAACAAAGCTTCTTCTACTTTGCTCTATGGTGTTGAAACCACATATCACGCCCTTGAAACAGAGAAACATCTTTCAACAAAGTTGGTAATTCGTCTCTCAAAAAAGTTGCGTATATATTTCCAGTGAGCGTTTGCTCACTCACTATTTACAGGGCGCAGTCTGTAATCTTACTATTTTCTATCTACGACAAACGGTTTA